CGATCGGCAGCGACCGATCGACACTCAAAATCGGTCGCGACCGATCGCAACCGATCCCAAAATCGGTCGCGACCGGTTGCCACCAATCGCGACCGGTCGGTCGCGACCGATCGGTCGCGTCCGATTTTGAAGAAACTCGGTCGCGACCGAAACCGAAATTTGAAGCAAATTTGTAGCGACCGATCTCGTCGGTCGCGACTGGAAAATTCCAATGTGTGAAGTGATCTAGGCGCAGGGGCGCCCCGCAGGAGGCCCCGTGGCCCTATGTGCCCCCGGAGCGGTCGCGGCGGCGGCCCGCGGCGGCGCCGCGGCTGGAAAACAGGACACCTTCCCTGTGGCAATTGATTCCGTCCTGGATCCATCCTTGGCTGTCTCGGGTGAGGAGGCAACTTCTGGGAGGTTTTCGTCAAAGCGAAGGAGGCTACTCAACTTGAGCACACCGCCCTCATACTCCGCCCCCCTATCCACGGGAAAGCTACCCCCATGTTTCGGATACTTGATATTCCGTCCCCCCATCCACGGGAGGCTCCTGAATATTCCGCCCCACCCCTCCGTAAAATTAGCAGTTCAAGCTATGTTGGCGGAAATGATGGGTGTTGGCAGCAATGTTGGGGCGGCGCTACTCGCTGCTGACGGCGTGGATGATCAGAACACCGTCGGCTGCGATGCCCACAACAACTAGGACCAATATGATGAACACCGTGATCATGCAAGTGATGGTGCGGTACAGGCGCTATCTAAAATGGTCGCGATTGCAGTTGCGGTACCAGCGGTGATTACAATCACCGTGGAACAAAGACCAAGGCAATAATGGCGAAACAACAAACGAGGAGAAGTACGGAGAGGTGCGAAGGATGGCGGAGGAATAGGGAGCATCGGAGCTGTATGGAGCGGAGTGGGGAAGACTTGGAATGAAATGGAGAGGGCAGGAATGAGAAATACTGGGGATAAACATCCATGCCAAATTTGCGTTAGACATCCAAGCCAAACTGGCGAAACCGGCCCCACCGTGGCCCAACAATGAACGGCCCTACCGTAGCTTCGGTCACGCGAAACCGCCTTGATAAACCACCCCCCCCCGTCTCGCCCGCTGAAAAGGCGACTGAATAAACAGGCCCGGGGGGCCATCTGAGAAGGGCCATGGAGTAAGGGGCCCAATAAACCGTTCAAAACCAAATTTAGCCCAATCTTGACACATATTGAACATAATGGTGCCAGATTCGGCGAGCTTTCGACCACGTATGCACTAGCGCCGATGCTGAATTCAAACTCCTGGATGTCGCATCCTAACTCAGGGGCGCCCCGGCTGGCAGTTTGTCGTCCTGGATCCAGGCTTGATTGCATCGGGGCACAATACGATCGAAGCTGAAGCAACCCGCCCCCTCCCCCAAGACGAAGCCAGGACGAGGATAACATCGGGTGGGGATACGTCCATGATATCTGAGATCCAGCAGCTCTAGAGGATGTCTTGGGCGCCGCGGCCTCCTCACATCGTTCCAGGATGCTCTGGGAGCGTTTCGGACCGCTCTGGAGTGGATGTATCCTCGTCCTAGCCCAGTCCGACCCCCTATCCGCAGGAGTCGATGAGCAGGAGGGGGAGGGAGGGGGAGGGAGGGGGAAGGAGAGTGAGGAACGGATGCGCAAGGCACGAAGGAGGGATGAGCAGGAGGAGGACAAGGAGGGATTAGGGATGCGGAGCAACATGAGGGAGGCGGGGAGAGAGGGAGGGAGGGAGGGAGGGAGGAAGGAGGAGGAGGATGATGAGGAGTGAGGAGAACGAGGTGGGAGTAGGAGGAGGGAGGGAAGGATGGAGGGAGGGAGGAGGAGAGAGGAAGGGGGCGGGGAACGAAAAGCATTTCCCCAGTCAGCTGATCCATTCCCCAATTCTGAATTATGAAAGCCGTGAAGCTTTCGAAGTGTTGCAATTTGGCTGTTGTCAAGCGCTCTTTAGGAGCTGTCGAGGCGCTCCTGAGCAGCTTAAGGAGCTCATGCGCTATTTAAGCTTTTATGGCACTCCTCAGCAGGTTATATGGCGCTCCTTATCAGCTTTCAGAGCCTTCAATGGCACCTTTGAGGGTCGAGGCAGCTTTTAGACCGATCCTTGGCAGTCTTTCGGTCGCCCCTTAGCAGCATTCAGAGCTAGCATATTCTGGCGCCCATTAGCAGGCTTTAAGGCGCTCCTGGGCAGCTTTGACGGCGCTCCTTCGCAGCCTTCAACGCGCATCTCAGCAGCATTTAAGGCGCTCCCTATTCGCTGCTATCCTTAGCAGCTTGTAGACCCCTCCTTACCAACTTTGAAGGCGCTCCTGAGCAGATTCTAGAACGCTCCTTCGCAGGTTTCACGGCGCTCCTGAACAGCTCTCGAGGCGCTCCTGAGCAGCTGTTTGAGGCGCTCCTTAGCAACTTCTAAGGCGCTCCTTGGCAGATTTCACGGCGCTCTTCCGCAGCTGTTCAGGCGCTCCTCAGCAGGAATGGGGAAGGGGAAGGGATGTGGGGACAGGGAAAGTAGAAGGGAAGGGGAAGGGAAGGAAGAGGAAGGGGAGCGGGAGGAGGGATGGCGGGAGGAGGAACGAGGGAGGGAGGGATGAGGTAGGAGGGAGGGAGGGAGGCACAGGGAACACCAACTGGGGACGATCAATATGCTGGAGCTGGCCCCCGCGGGGCCGTGACCGCCCCGCCGCGAGCGCCGCGAGCCCCCCGGGGGACGTCGTGGACCCCCATGGGAGGCCACACGGGGGGCCCGACCACTAGCAAGCTTTCCTTGCCATTGTTCGATGTCGTGCGTGTTTTGGATTGCCCGCCGAGACAAAAAAAACGCGCGCGTCCGAGCGATGCCAAGCTTCCGATTGTAGCGTGCCCCCCCTCCCCCCCACGCACGCACAAGGGCACCCTTGCTCCAGGGATGCTGAAGACGCGAGACGCGACGCACAGGACACGAAGGAGCCCTTCATGTGGCAGGGCCGGCCTGCTTCTCAAACTCGACTGCAGCGAAGGAGCACCCCCCAAGAGGGCCTCAAGTGAGCGTTTTCTATTTCGGCGTTTCGGCATTGAGCGGAAGGGGGGGGAGGGGAGGGATCTGGCTCCAGACCTCTGCCTAGTGCGACTGTTTGCACCAGTGCGTCCTGTGGGGAGACTCCACCAGCCTGAAACAGGCGCCAAAAACAACGGAGATCTACTCCTTTTGGGCGGGGGAGGGGTGTGCGAGGGCCCGCACCGATCGGAAAACACTGAATAAAAAAAACTACCTCCGAGAGGAAACAAAATTCATTGAATTTTCTCTGGTGCTTGAAGAAAGTGTCGCGCTCCTGCCTTTTTCGGCTTCCCGACGCTCCAGGACTGCCCAAGAGAGGCCCCAGGTAGCGCCCCAAGACGCTTCTGCTCGGCGGCGCGCACCAGGGAGGTGGAAGGAGGGGGAAGGCTTCTCAGGAGGAGGCCGCTTCGTCGAAGGCGTCGGCCCGACATGTATAGATGAGGTCCGCACCTTCTGAGAAGCAGGGTGCTTCTGAGAAGGCGCGGACCTCAAACCCCCCCTTCCCCCAAGGCCCCCTCAAGGCGCGGCTGGTGTTTTGCTCTTCTCGGTCCCTCCCACATCATCCGCGACCAGAGATTTTCGGTCGCGGATGTGGGTGCCGGCAGTATCGCGACTGGCTCCCGAATTCGGTCGCGAGCGGTCGCGACCGATCCCACATCTCGGACGCGAGGGCTGGTCGCAAACGATACGTCGGTCAACGTCGGCCACGCTTTTCGGTCGCGGCGGATCGGTACATATTGGTGGCTACCGAAACGCCTGCAAAATTGGCCGCGACCGCTCGCGACCGCAAATTGTCGGCCGTGGGTGAGCTGGACTGAGGGCCATCGCAGAGCCCCGGGGCCGTCAACATATCGGGTGCGGCCAAGAGGGGGGCGTCCAAGAGGGGGGGCGCAAATCATGGCCGGCGGCATGTGCGTGCCCTTGGAGGGGTGCGAGGGACGTGATGGAATAAGAAGAGGCGCCATGAAATCTGGGGAAATATCATGGCCGACGCCATGAGATCCATCCCCCCCTGGTCATCACCCCCCTCGTTGCCGCCCCCGAACATCATGAATCGGGAAGAGAAGCCGGGAAGGGGCCGAGACGTGCGGGGGTCCGACGTTGGCGACAAAAGTCGTGACGTCGGCTCGAGCTCTGGGCTGCGGTGCTTTTCGAACTCCTCGGTCCCATCCCTTCCTCGCGGTCCCTCGCTGCCCGCCACCCTCCCTCCCTCCTACATCTCCCTCCATCTCCCCCTCGCTCCCTCCATCGCCCCCTCCATCTCTCTCCATCTCCATCTCCCCCTCGCTCCCTCCATTCGGCCCCTCCAACCCTCTCTTTTGCTACGCTGCTCGGACTAGGGTTGTCTGGAAGCGTAAGTCCTGCCCTCGCTCGCTCCTCCTCCTCCTCCTCCTGCTCCTCCTCCTCCTCCTCGTGATCATCATCGTCGTCATCGTCGTCATCGCCGTCCTTCTCATACTGCCGCTCCTCCTGCTCCTCCTCTGTCGCCTCAACCCCTCCTCCATCTTCCCTTCCCCATCCCTTGTTCTTCCTCCGCGGGCCAAATGAGGCTGGGCAGGGTGAAGGGGGGGTATGAGGGCGAGGAGAACGCTGACGAGGATGCAGATAGCAGCATGAGGGACAGACGAACCAACCCATACAACAACTAAGAACATGCATTGCAATCGGAGCGCGAATGAACACTGCAACAAAAAAGCACCGCAAGACGTCCGTCTTTTCCATGAGGCGCCAGTGCAATCAAACTGTCGGAGAACGAAACTGGGTCTGCTCGTAACAGCACGGACGCTGAAAACACTACACACCCCGGCCAGGTGCACAATTAGATGCTCGTTATGGGGACCTTCCTGGAGCCACTCGCTCCGTTTATGCGTCAATGCTACGTCTAATGTCGATCGACTTGAGTCGAAATCGAGTCGACCGAATCGACCCTGAACCGAGCTGGAGTCGAAGCAGAGTCGAATGCATCCGC